GAGCTGGCTTTCTTCCTTGCCCTTGGGGTTCTGCAGCAATGATGACTCGGTTGGACCTGTAAGGGTGCAAAATGGAGTGTTTACTGAGGTTATATCATTTATTCAAAAATGAGTACTTAGGAAATCTTTTGACTGCTTGAATAAGTAAGTGGCAGCAGGATTCAACCCTGCTGTGTTCCAGGGGTGTGGGCTCTCATAACTCCTCAGGTGGCCTGGAGAGCATTTCACGGTCCTGTTTATGAAAAGCAGGAATAGTTATTTTGTGTTCCTGTAGACCTGGGGGTCTCGTGAGGATCACTGGTACTGCTTAACAGTTAAGTGCAATCTTAGTTCAGAAACTGAGGACTCACCAGGAAGCTAGCAGCCAAGTTTAGCTCAGTTGAGTTATATGACAGCAAGGGTGGGTTGTATTGTTGCCTGAGCTGTCATCCTGCCCAAAGCCTGGTGGCAGCAGGGGTTGAGCTGCCCTCTCGTTCCTCTGGGAGAGCAGGAGAGCAGTATAGCAAGGGAGCAATGTGTTCTGCCTTGACATACAGCAAGCAGCGTGGCTCCTGTACAGAATTAGGACAATGTAAAGATGTTGTGCCTTTCCTAGGGTTATTCTGGCAGCAGGGACAACATTTTAGGGTCCCAAATAAAAGTGATTCTTCTGTGTTTTGAAATATCCTCATAATCGTAAAACAAAGACACTACTCACATTTGTTTTCCTTTGTTCCTTTAATAGTTAAGGACTATTAAAACTAAGTAATTTAATAAAGAACTCAGCTTACTAGTATCTTTCTGAAGTTCATGACTTGCCTTCAAAATAAGTGTCACAGTCTAAAATTTTGACTTGTAGGGACAAATAAAGAGTTCAGATCTGAAGCAGTCCAGGCTGTTTCACTCAGCACTGTTCTGCAGGGTTTACAAAACCAAAGCAGTACAGAAAATAGTGAGATTCTTGAAAATGCACGTATTTATTAGTAGGAGTCCCTTCCCCCTTTTTTACAAGTCCTGCTAAACGACCAAGCTCTGGTTCTTTTCCTTACTGCTGGAATGGTTGAAAACTTACTATCTATTTACAGGGTTGCAGAAAATAAAATTAAAAACTTGTCCACTTGTGTGGTGTGGCTACAGTATTTGGTGCAGCAGGATCCTGTTCACAGGTTTGAGCGTTAGATGTTGCCAGAGTTAAAAGAAAACAGAATAGTCAGGCAATAGTAGTTTTTACAGTGACCAAACATTACTTTAGACTCATTCAGTTCCATGTAAACAAAACCAAATTAAGCAAGAGTGACACCGTCAAAATATCATCTGTAATAATCCACTGAATCTGTGTCCTGTGAGGATTGCTGAGGCCCTACATCTTTCTGGGGGACAAAAATGTATTTTTATACATGGTCTAGTTTACGTGGTTGTACTTGGAAAATCCAGCCTCATTCTTGCCTCGATGTTGTTATGCCATGTAGCATGTTCAAGGTTAAGGGTTTGCCTCAGTTTCTTTAGTCCAGGTGTTTTGTTTGTTGTTTTTTTCCGTATGCCATTGTGTTGGATATAGTTTTCCTTTGGCTGGCTGTTTCCTTCTGGCTTAAGGCTTGATGTCTGCTTATTCTGCATTGGGGTTTCTGCTTTGATCTACTCATTCCAATTAAAGGCCTCTTGGCTTCAAGAAGAGGGATGTTGCACTGAGGGCCTTTGAAACTGCTTATGAAATACTCTCCTGTCTCATGGGTGAAAAGTATTGAAGATGTGTCCACATGAGATTGTGCCAGTGCAATCTGATGTATCAACCAATACACACTGAGGTATTGTCTTGCTAAGTATTTTCTAAACTCAGAGGTTGATTTCTAACCTTCTTGAGTATGTTTGGATTGCTGAATCCTCTTTGGATATGAACTCTTTGAGTCCTGTTGACTTGGTTGGAGCGGTGCCATCAAACCTGTGCTGGCATCACAGCTAAACTGAAGAAGCATGGTCTGGATGACTGGGTAGTGAGGTGGTTTGTGAACTGATTGAAGGAAAGAAGACAGAGTTGTAGTCAATGAGACAGAGTCTATATGAGGCCTGTGTCTAGTGGAGTGCCTCATAGGTCAGTACTGGGACCAGTACTATGCAATATATTCATCAGTGACCTGGATGAGGGAACAGGGTGCGAGTTTCAGGAGGATGGAGCCAGTCTCTAGGACAATGGGCAGCAGGTGCAAACTGGAGCATAGGAGGTTCCATGTAAACATGAGGAAAACCTTTTTCACTGTGAGGGTGACAGAGCACTGGAACAGGCTGTCCAGAGGGGTTGTGGAGTCTCCTTCTCTGGACACATTCAAAACCCTCCTGGACATGTTCCTGTGTGAGCTGCTCTAGGGGATCCTGCTTTGGCAGGACTAGAAGATCTTCCGAGGTCCCTTCCAACCCCTAACATTCTATGATTCTGTGATCTGCTGCCTATGGGTATGCCCCATAACCCAGTGTATCTCCATTTGGTCAGCTGATGGATTTGAAAGCCATTAAATTGCCCGGTGTTGTCAGCTGCCTTTAACAGGCCACTACCATTTCACCCTTTATCCTAGTATTGATCTCAGTATTTTCATGAGGAAAATACCTGTTTAACAGCAAAACTGACATCCAAAGTATTAAAAGCAGTGTTGCTGAAATACTGTGCTCTTTTCTGGTCTTGGTTTCTTGTGCTCCAGCTTCTGCTGTTATTTTGGTTATGTCTTTATCTACTAGATTGAAGAGCCTTAAATGCTTGCTGCTTTCTTCATGTGAAGGTCTCTGTGAACACTAAACAAATAACTTGTAGATTTGTATTTGAAGATCAAAACAGGGTGAGCTCAAGCCTCCCACTTCAAGGCATCAGTTCTTGCCTTTGACATAGTTTTGTGCATCTGTATTACACCATCTTTGTTTTTTCAACTTTGTTATTATTTGGACAATAATTCTGGATGTGATACTCCAACATCATTTGGGTTAACTCGAAATAGTTATAACTCCACTTTTTCTGCCTTTTAAATTGTTTCAGTAGTTTGATTTATTTGAAAATAGCTTTTCTTCACAATTTCATAGCGTGGTAACTATGACATTGTTTAAACCTCTTCTCGGTATAAAGTGAAGTAGTGAGTTTGAGGTGAGGTCAGTGAAATTAAACTGAGGCTAGTGGAGATAAGCTGATTTGTTACAACAGAAGTGTAGTCCCTATCTATAGTTCTTTGGGCTTTAATGGTTATACAGCTCTTACAGCTGTCAGGGGATGACTGAAAAAGCAATTGAAGAAAAAAATATTCTTCTGATGGTCTAAAAAGAGAAAATTGCTTGGAAGGTTCTTCTCTATTCTTTGTTATGTTTCATTCATGAGAATAATTGGGGGTATAATTAAATGTACATTTTAGATGAAGTCAAGTACTTCTTGATCCAAACACAACAGTAATGCCTAAGGAGAAGGAGTGATTAGGAAAGGAAGCTGATGGGAAGCCTGGCACAAAACCAGACCTAAAAATTATTTTCCACAATTGTTTTCTTTTAAGCTGTTTCCAAGATATACAGGGGTGTGTAGCACAGGAGGGTGCAGTGCTTGTGCAGCCAGAGGGTCACAGTGCAAGCTAGGAGTTGCACCTGTAGGGCTTGTTTTAAGTCGCCTGGTGATTCTCCAGTCCTGTCTCTGTGTCTTTGAGGGTCTATGCCCTGGTGTTGAGGGAAGTTGGTGAAAAGTCTCTCAAACTTTTTCAACTTGTTCAAGAAGAGGTGAGAGGAGAATGGCAGGCTGCTGAAGCACCAGCTGCACACCCTGCAGCAGAGCTCTTAAAAATATACCTTTGAACGTTTCTTACCACTGCAGTGATTTTTGCCAAGCAGCTCTGTCAATTCTTTTTACATTTTTCAAAGGATGGTCAGAGTCTTTTGAAGTCAGTGGAAGTATTCCCATTGAATCCAGATGACTTTCTGGCTCTGAGCTGGACAGGTTTGCACCAATATTCTTTTTGATTTAGTGTTGTATGGAAGACTTGGACCTTCAGTGATATGTAATGGAAAGGTGATCTGTGAGCACAGGAGTTAGAAAACAAGGCAAGTCTTGGAAACATCCTAGTTTCTTACTGTCTCTGAATAGTATTTTAGTTTCATTGGCAAGTGCTTTGGTTTGGGAGCTGCCTGGGCTTGCTTGGGAGCTCTGATTCCATCAGTAAAGAATGGATCCTAGCTTGAAGCACCTCGCCCATGTTCAACTAGCAGTGGCTCGCTTTGGTGGCTGATTCCCAATGCTGGAAAATCAACCTTCTGGCAATAGGGATGTAGTAGATTATATGCAAGATAATAATGACCCCTTTAGTTTTACTTGGAACCACTGATCTCCCACTTTATTTATTTGTAAGAAAGCATATCCTCGAACTCCAGGCCTTACATGTGCTTGTGCATCTTGCAGTTCCTTCTTAAGACACTCCACTAGCTTAATGCATTTTTGCTGATAAAAAGGCCCTTCATGTGCTTGCATGGACTTGTGTGTTTCTGTGTAGCAGAGGATCCTGCTTTCCTTTTATGCTCTGATGTTCGATGGCTGGTGTGATAACACATATGATAACATCGTGTAAAGGCCATGTTCTAATGTGTCGCTTTTAACAAAGATCATGAATAATTCATCGTTGCTGTAATACTGCCAAAGCTTTGTTTATTAAAGCTACAAATACCTGTACTGGAAGAAGAGATTTCTCCCGTATGGCATGCTTGTTTCCACCTTTTCCTCTACCCTGTAGTGAAGCTGGTCCTTTCCTGCTGTTACAGAATTATAAAGTGGCTCTGTCACAGTGGAATCAGCATTAAACTTCACAGTGCAGTTATGCAGGAAGGCCAGATAAAGTGTGTGTCTCTGAAGCTAAAAGAGATGGGTTATTCCATGTAACTTCCCTTATCTGTTCCAAATTTGTGTTTCTCATATCTCTTTAAAGTGTGCAATTACTCTTTACTTACTTAATCTTCTTCTTCTCCCCCACAACAGTCAGAATGGGACCTGTACAGTGTCCAGACGCCAGAACACCATCCAGGAGCTCTTGCAAAACTGTTCGGATTGCCTGATGCGAGCTGAGCTCATCGTACAACCTGTGAGTGCCTTTTGTTCTTCCTACCAAAGTGATTATGAACATTACAGGGAATAAGTGCTACACTGTCTTCTGGACTCACAAGATCGGAGTCTTCCTCTCCTTTCTCCCCTTTCAGCTTTTTCCGTGAGGCAGCTGGCAGTGGAGTATCATCCTAGGTCTCTCTCTTCAGTCTGCGCTCGGTGTTGAGTAAACCTGTTTGAAATGCACCCGATAAAATAAAGGAGGAGTTCTTGTTTTTTTAAAAAAAACAAAACCAGCAAACAACCTTCAAACAAATTCTACTACATCTTATTTTTCAGTTTTAGTTCAAGACAACTGTCAGCATAAACAGCTGTTAATAATCTTATGACCACTTACACTCTCTCAGTGTGTCCTGTAGAATATTGTCATCCTTTTCTGGGCCACAATATAAAACCAAATGACCACAGGAAAAACCTTTGTTACCTCTATTTTATTTTTGCAGATGCCTCCTAAGTAAACTAGATTAAAATCCTGGCTGTGTCATCCCAAATACACACAAATGATCTTTGCTGGACGTTACACTGATATAATCCCATAGTGCCTGGGGGTGGGTCACTCACTGATGCTAGATTCAGTCCTGGTGAACTCTCAATGTGGAATGTCCTCTGTTCCTGCTCAAGTCAGAGGAGGTGCAGGGTGGTGAGTGCATCCTGCTGCTGAGGCCACAGAGATGCAAAGCCCATTTGTAGTTCTGGCAGTATCTGTGATTTAATGCACACTTTTGGACCCTCTGTGGTCAGAAATTTTTTTCAGGAATGAACTCTGTGGTTAGCAGTTCATTTGGTTTTCAGAGATACAGCAAGTGTAAGCATGTTTATATAAAAATCAATGCCAGAGTAAATACTGCCTCTTGTTAAGGACTAATATTATTGCAGTGAAGTTAAAAGAAAGTGTTGTTTAGTTCCACCTTGGTTCTACAACATGCATTGCTTTTTTTTTTTATATATTTTCTTTCTGAGGGACAAAGTAACGAGGTCTATCAACATTCTATTTGCCAAATCAAATCACAGCTGGGTTATGTTTTGTTCAGCATGGCTGTGTCCATGTGGAGTGAGATCAAAAAGCTGTCTCTTCCTGCTTGAAGCACCATGACTGTGCTGGTTCACTGCACTGGGAAGCTACATGGAAAATTTTCCTATACTTTGGGCGGTAAGGTAGGATGCAAACGTGACAGGGCATGAATTTGGTTTCTGGAAGACAAGGGTTCAGTCTGTTTTTGCAGGGTAAGAATGTCTTAGAACCTCAGGGCAACTGGAAAATCAGGAGCAATATCCACCAGTTCTCCCTAGGACAGCATTTGCTTCTCATCCTCCGAACACAAAAGCATAAGGTCTTAAAAACTTAGCACACCATATGATGTCTTGGCTTCACTGAGGAGTCAGTCCATCCAGTCAGGATGTGCTGTTATTTATGTAAATCTTTGGTTGGTATTATGTTTTAATAATTTTCTTTCATATTTTGTTTGTATCTGCCAATTTGCCTTCTGCCAGTTAAAACTGGCAATCAGTAACCTAGCAGTTGAAACCTGTCATGCTTCTTAAAAATAGCAGTCCTCTTAACATCTCTTTTAAAACAACCAAGCTGAAGCTTAGATAATGAATATGCATGTTAATGTCCCATCTCTGGTATTTTTGTTCATTTTGTTATGTTTGTTTGTTTGTTTTAGGAGTTGAAATATGGGGATGGTGTCCAGATTAGAGGGAACAGAGATCTTGAAGATTGTTTTGGACAGGCAAATGAGCAAATGGATATCCTGGATGGGCTGATCAGAGAGATGAGGCAGATGGGCCAGCCCTGTGACATGTATCAGAAAAGGTATTTCCAGGGAAGGGAGGGGGAATGTGGCTGGTAGAAGTTTGTGGTGTCTCAAGTGCTCATCTTCCCTGTTGTTGAAGGTTATGACAGAAATTAATAAAGTGGAACTAAATCTGTTTGGGGCATGCTAACATGAAGAAGGGCCTTGCAGTAATGTATTTCTTAGAGAATTTTATACTTTCCTTGTCCCTGTGAAATTTCAGTCAGTATATTTTTTTTCCACCACCTGTGCTTTAAGCACTTTCTTTTGAATCATTGCTGGTCCAGTGGGAGAGATTAATTATGTTGTTCCCATATTTCCTGGGTGATTTCCTCTTAGTTACTAAGTGCTTCCTTCCCTTTCAGGCTGCTTCAACTTCAAGAGCAAATGCGTGCCCTGTACAAAGCCATCAGTGTCCCCCGTGCCAGGAGGGCCAGCTCCAAAGGTGGTGGTTGCTACTCTTCTCAGAGTGGCTCAGGCTGGGACGAGTACACGAAACGTGTCACTAGTGAATGTTTAAGCTGGATGAGGCAGCAAAAGGTAAACCTGTGCAAAACTTCAGTAGAAACTTGAAAGTACACATGCTCTCTCTCTCTTTTTTTTTTTTTTTTTCCCTTCCAGTGTTGTACTTAATAGTGAGTTTCCACTGAAATATGAACACGGATTGGGGTCTTCTTTTGCAGAGGAAAAATGTGGAAACTAGGTTTGAAAGCTAAATGAGATACAGCTTGTTAACATAGCAAAAGGCATTGGCATGGTTGCATTAGAAATGTTTATGCTCGTTATTTCCTTTCTTCCATAGATTTAATTTATGATTCATGTTTATTTTAACCCTGTACACACAGATCAGCTCCACAGACTTAGCTATTTTCCAGTACTTTACAATTGTTCTCCCCCTCTGATCTATGCTTATCACAGTGTGAGTTTGAGGGTAGAGCTGATGGCCACAGGGACTAGGCTTTCAGAAGTCACTACCGAAATACACAGGAAAATGCTGACATTGCTGCCTGTTGCATTCCCAGAATAAATTTGCCTATGCACAGCTGTTGGTAGTGTAACCTGGAGTAGAAAACAGGCACTGAGATCCCTTTGTCAGTTTTTGTGCTGCTGAAGTGAAAACTATGTGTTTGTGGTAGGGAGGCTGAAACAAGGTGGCTGCAGTTACACTTTGCAGACTTCCTGCAGATTGAAGTGGCATTATTTTTATCTCTCTTTATTAGGTTGTTGCTTAGTGATCCTGTCATTGTTATCTGCATATGGTATTTCCCAGGTGGCTGCTATGCAAACCAGATGAGGAGGGGAGAGCTCTGTACAGTTCCCATACTTTTATGTGAGTGCTAGTCCTAGTCTTGTATTTCAGCGCCCTTCCACAGCACAGCATGTTTTAGGGGAAGAAGGGGCAGTGGAGATGTGCTCTTTGAGTGGTAACGTTGTGTCCGGACGGCAGCAACAGCTACAATTGCTCTTCAAACCCTGTGGGAGAGTAGGCTAATTGTCAGATCTGCCATGGTTTGAGGAGTGATATTGGACAGACACTGGGCACACTTCCAGTGATGAAAGGCTGTGAGCAGGCTGCACCTCCCAAAGTCTCCATGTGACACCCTGCACTAAGCACAGGGAGCATTTTATAGCAGTGTTCCCACACAAGCTCCTGTGAAAGTAAAAGGCTTGCTCGCTCTGCCTTCCTCAATCCTTAAGGCAAAGCTGAGGTGTGGTCAGTAAGCACTTAGCTCCCTATTCGGCTTTGGAGGTTTCTTAGAGAAAACTTGTTTTGAACTTTCCACTATTCCTCTTCTTCCTGCCACGCCTCTGTGTGCCTCGGTATCTGCTTGTGCTGGGACCAGGGTAACGTTTTGCCTAGTAGTGTGGTGAGATGTGGGGAAAAGGTCTGAGCAGCTGTAGTTTTCTGCTGGTGTTTTTGTGGTTTTTTTTATCTGGATGGTTTGCTGACAGGAGAATCGGGTGGTAGGAAGGTTGGTCAGATTTCTGGTGCAAAGTTAGTGGAAGCACAGTGAGATCCAGGCACCCTTTGTTCACATGCTGGCAGCAAGCCAAGGCTGCTGTTGTTGCTACAGTCTCTTTAGACTGTTCAAATATAATGAGAAGGGTCAAAGTCCTGTAACTTCTAGATGGCTGAATGCAAAATGGTTTTCTTTCTTGGATCATTTTCAACACTGCCTTTGAACCCCTACACTTGAGTGTGGTTCAGCCTTTACTGTCATCTGTTGACTCATAGAGATTTGACTCCAAGCTGGTAATTACTAAATTCTGTCCCAACCCAAGATTAAGATACCTATTCATTTACTGTGTGTGCCTGCAGACTGGGATTCAGAGAGAGATGCAGTGTGTCTTTACAGCATAAAAGAGGATTTGGAGCTTGAGGAGGTGGATTGTGAATTCAGTGGCTTTTAATATTTGAAACTAATGAAACAACTGCAGTCAGATAGTATTTGAGTTAGTAATTAGCCAGGTGTATTACTGTTTATCAAAGGCTGTTCCTAGACATTTTCACTCAACATCCTACAATAAATGTTGCAAAAATGCAGGACAAACAATATGTTCTATAATAATTTCAGTTTATTTTCTGGTTTTCATTTAGTTTGAATTTAACTGAAGTTACTGGAGTTTACAGGAGTGTAATTAAAATGGAAATGTAGTGTACCGGGCTACAGAACTTGACTGGGTATTTTCACATGAATGGCATGAAAAACATTGTTTAGTAAAGTCATAATTTGTTTTCAGAGTGATAAGAATGTAACTATACTGTAGAATAGATAGGACAGTTTGGTCCAAAGAAAACAGATGAAAAGACACTATTGGCTGTGCTTCATCTAATTAGACTAATTTTAATGTATTTATTCCCCCCCCCCCCCCCCCACTTTGTTTCTTCTTCATTGGGAGCCTGTCACACAGTGTAAATGATGATAGTTTTAAGGAATTGTAACCCCTGATTCTGAACTGTTCAGTGTTACTCTCTACTGCAAAGTTGTGTTTCCTTTACTTCAATTCCTTTATGCTCCCGTTTAGATAGTAATGTTGGAAATGAAAGTACAAATACTGCCCCTTTCTCCTAGGCTGAAATGGAGCTTGTGAAATGGGGGTTTGATGCCGCATCCATCGAGCAACAAATTAGTGAGCACAGGAGAACACATAATGCCATTGGAGACTATCGTTGGCACCTGGACAAAGTCAAGACAGATCTGGTAATTACTGTCTTCCCTTACAGGTCATTTAGTCTAGATTGTGTCATTTACTCTCCACTACTAAAAGGGATGCTGAATAGCTCAGCTTCTCTTCAAAGAAAAGCACTGATGTCATTATAGCAACTGCTTTCAACCCAATACTTACTGGTTCATGATTATTTTGTGTTCATGATAATTTTTTTTTCTCCAGAATTTTAAAATGAAGAATGAATAGTTATTTAACATTTCATTGTTGTGTACCAAGGCTGGCAAACAAATATTGCAAAACTTTTGTGAGAAGAAGGGTTAAGTGGTTATTCTCACTTTCTGTCTAGCTGCATTAAAACATGAAAGTGAAAGGGTGAGGTAGGTGCTTAGGTAAGGTAATAATGAGGGAATTTCTGTGAAAAATGCCCTAATTCTGAGCTAAACTTGGAGCTTTTTTTGCATGTGGGCTATTTCATGTTTGGTTGGTTGGTTTTTTTGCCCTCTTAGGCTTCTGGTCTTCTCTGGATTTTGTGACTGGAATAAAGAAGTCACAGAAAATGCAGTGTCTAACTTCCTCTGCTATGAGCCCAGTAATTAGGTATAGGAGAGAGCAGGCTTACTTCATTCCTGTTCTTATTTTTTGTTAATTGCTCACATAGACAGGAGAGAGAGGTGAGCCTTAAAAAAAGGGACTCTGTTCTGGAGCTCTGATGTCTCAGCCAAGCTGAAGAGTGGAAGAGATGTTACCCCCTTTCCCCTTCTGCTTGTTCAAATAGGAAAGGTGATAGTTTGGCTGCGTGGAATCACAGTTCTAAGGTTGTGCAGCTTCCCAGTCATAGAAATGAGAATAAACTTGGAGCCTCCTGGTCATGTCATAGTTTGTACTATTTCATAATCTCCAAAGCCAGCTTTAGGACTATCTGGTTCCCTACAAATGTCTGGGCGTTTGGTACAGAAAGAGATCCAGTTCTGGGAGCTGTTTTGGTATTACAGGGGTTGTGTGCAGCCTTGCTTATATACTAAGCATCCCAGAGGAAGCAAGTTTGTCCAAGCCTTGGTTTTATACTTCTTATGGTCCTCCAGTGTTGCAGATCTGCTATTCACCTTTGTCTCTTGCAGGCATTTGTAGGTTACCACCTGTAGTTATTATGATACTAGCACTGTAATGGAAATATCAGCAAATAGGCAACTTGTAAAAGGCTCACTAAGTGTTTGCTGTCTCTATTGCAGCGGGAGAAGGCTGCGGTTCATCAGCTGGAGGAAGAATATGAAGGACTGCTGGTGAGCATGAGATGTGTTCATGTCTGATCCACTCTATGATGAATGCTATTTTTTTTTCATAAACACCAGTGTGATCATCAAGGGAACTCTTCGGGTTTCAGCCGAGTGACGGATGTGTATTTAAATAATTCTATTCAGCAGTCAACTGACAGTGCTTTGTAGTTTCTGTGAAGTTTGGTTTGAGTCATGGACTTGAGATTAATTAGCTGCTGTATAATTGACTTTCCCTCACAAGGAAGTTTCTAGTTTGCACCTGGTGAAAGGGAGTTGATCTCTAAGCAGGTGAGGAGTAGAACTCTACCTCCTTAATGAGAGTAAATGTAGTGATGAAGTTAGTCTATATATGAAGCTTAACAAGTTACTCAAAGGTGGGATTATAAACAAATTCTGTGTAGGGCTGTACATCTTTTCTGCTTTGGATCTTCATGTAAAATACAGTGAGAGTCCTGTGCAAATGCTAGATTTAACTCTTTGGATTGGAAGTTGATTTCTGTACATGTTTCAAGCAACAGGATGTGTATTATGATGTGAAGACATAAGGAAACTTAATGAAGTGGCATCTGTAGAAAAGGTGCTGCTACAACATCAAGGATGTACTATATAGCAGTAATTGCAAGTAGAAGTCATGTTAAATATTCAGGCATTTCTTGTATTTTCCCCCATGCCTTTTTGCTTGCCTGCCTACATGTCTGTTACACTTGTGTTTGAAATAGCTTTCAGAAGCTGCTGACCTGCACATGTAGTATTTATGGCTTCTAATTTCTGGAATTCCTTGCAGAAATACTCCTTTGAGAGAATGGATCAGCTCCGTCAATTCCAGAACCTCATCCAAGCCACCAGCAGAGAGATCATGTGGATCAATGACTGTGAGGAAGAGGAGCTTCTCTATGACTGGAGTGACAGGAACACTGATATCGCAAGGAAGCAGGAGGCCTTCTCTGTAAGGCAGTTCAACCTCCTTGTGCTTTTTCCATGGGCCCTTTTTTGGGGTAGTGAGCAAGGAACAGCCTGGCTTAGGGGAACTGATCACAGGATGGGAGTTTCTTCACTTTTTCAAAGTTTCTGTCTTTTATCAAGGCTTTTGGATTAAGTGCTGTGGGACAATCTTTTGAGTCAATATTGGACATCTATTGGAAGATTGTGCTCCCCTTCAACCAGCTGTAATTGTTTCCTTTGACCTTGGAAGCTGGCCTTACCAGCACAGTCTGCTGTGGACTAGTAATCACATGTAACTTGTGCCCACAGTCATTACTTTGGCATGTTAAACTAAGGAACTTTAATGCTCCCTGTTAGGACTATCTAGAGGTTAGAGGGTCCCTGTATTTGACCGTGATGACTCTCACCAGGAAGCAGAACTATATCAGAGGGAGCTGCTCTCCCTTCCTCTGATGGTTTTGCCAGAGGCACGTTGTACCTGCTGTCAGAAGTAGCTTGCACTGCTCTTTATCTTCTGTGGGTATGTAGAGAAATAGAGCAGGTGCATTTCTCTAGTCAATATTGGTGCTTATCACCAAGTTAAAAAAGGAATAAAAGCTCGCACTATTAAGGAGGTACTTTCTTCTATTTTTAATTCAGTTGCTTGGGATGTTGCAAGATGCTGTAATTTTTGCTTCTGTCATTCCTAGGAAAGGCAGAACTTTGGGTGCTTTGCTCTATGAAGTAGCAACTCTAGAGGCTAGAATTCAGATGACCGTCTCTCCTTGGTTCAACTGTCTTAATAATTAACTTCAGTACAGTGATTAGAATTACTATTGAGTGTTGGCAGGGATAATTTTACATTATCACAACTGTTTGGAAAAGTTAAAGTAAATCATCTTGTGCTGTGTAGGTTTAGGGGCTTGTTTAATGCTGTGTTTTGGTTGTTTAGAAACGCATGAGTGAACTGGAAGTTAAAGAAAAAGAACTCAACAAGCTAAAGCAAGAAAGTGACCAGCTAGTGCTTAACCAGCACCCTGCTTCAGACAAGATTGAGGTGAGTTAGACTTTGTGTGATTTCACTTGGTCCTTTAGTTGCTACATGAGAACTTTTCAGTAACAGTCTGTAAATGAAATATTAGGTTTGGACGTGAGAAGTGTTTGTGTGCTAAAAGAAAGCATGTCCAGCTGCATGAGCTGTTCTAATACATGTTGCCACCTTCCTCTCCAAACCTGGCCACAACAGCTGCAGGCTTCCTAAGAGCTATGGGGAGAGCTATTGTTGTCTAATTTGATGATAAAAGCATGTAAAAAGGAATATGAGGCTTAGGGAGTTTTCTGAGTGTATTGAAATTGCTGTATCTCGTTTGAATTGTCTACAGTGCAGTGGAATTTATGGTAGGAAGGCATGTCGTCATCTTCTGCTGTCTTAATAGGCATGTTTTGAAGAAAGCCACACCCTTTGAGGGTTTATATTTAATCCAGGTGCAAATACTTTCTGCAGCTCAAATTCATAGTGCATTTCTACAGCTTACCCAAGACACTTTTGCTTTCACGGCTTGATGTACATTTACTTTTCAATTACAAAAGCTGCAACAACTTGGAAATTCTCATTGTATTAGGAAATGCTGTAGTTGTTACAGTTTTAAGAGTACTTAAACCTATAACTTAAAGAAACTAGAAGGAAAAACAAGTCCTTTCTGGTTTTTAGTGCATTTACTTTGCTAACTGTTGTGTTCTGGAAAATCACCATTCATATTTCTGCTGTGGTCAGGTTCTGGCTTAAAGAAAAGGTCCTTGTAAGCTCCAGCAGTAAAGTAAAAAGTGTGGAATTTTCTGAGGAATACATGAGCACTACTTGAGAAGTTTTAATTTAAAAATAGTAATCATAAAAAAAATCATATTTGACAGTGTTCCTTGGAAGGAGGAGAACATGACAATTTGCAATCGTATTTACACGTTTCACCCTTTCTGTTCATGCACTTTATGCTGATCAAACAAAATTCAAGCTATGAACAAATTTCTCTGTGTTCCACAAACAGGTATTTTAACTCTTTCCAGTCAGGTGCTTAAAAGTTGGGGAACTATTTGCATAAATTACATTATTCTGGTGTGCATGGATTTGTCTTAGCAGCTTTTGCATTTGCATTTATGTGGAACATAAATATTTTTGCTTGAGTCTAGATTTGGGCAAGGAATGAATGTGGTGGTTTGAGTTCTGTATATTACTATTTTTGTTAGGCCTACATGGATACATTACAAACTCAGTGGAGCTGGATTCTTCAGATCACCAAATGCATCGATGTTCATCTGAAAGAGAACGCAGCTTACTTTCAGGTGAGTAGTGATGTGAATAGTTCACACTACTTTTGTTAAAATATTAATCCCATCACAGGTATTTTTATCTGTACCAAAATACTTTTAAATTCATGAACAATTATGGATAACACAGTGTTACCATATTGTAAATGCTACTGTTCTGCCAGATGTAAACTGTGATTTCTCATGAGAGGATTTCATTGATTTTTAGCAGACATTTTTTAAGAGCTGTGTGAAAATGAAATCACAACTTTTCTTCTGTAGTTCTTTGAAGAGGCCCAAGCCACAGAGTGCTACCTGAAGAACTTACAAGACTCCATCAGAAAGAAGTTCATCTGTGATAAGAGCATGTCACTGCAGACTTTGCTGGAGCAGATAAAAGAGCTGGAGGTACTGTCACACCCACTGTGTCCTGCTTTCCCTTGGAAATCAGTTGCCCTCTTCAGATGCCAAATGTAAACCCACTTGTACTGCAGTGCTTATATATAGTACTGTATGAACATGAAGCCATAATCCATTCCTATCCATTTCTCAGGAAAGCCTTCAAATGGATCAGTATTATTTTAACTTGTGTAGTACTGCTTAGGAACTCTTGATTTCTTTTTAAATCTGGAATGAGCCTGACAAATGGCCAAGTTTCTGCCATACTAACAAATTAAAAGAAGGCAAAACTTTCATTCATAAGTGGTAGAATAGATTTTTCCTCAAAGCAAAAGTGCATTTAATAAATCATAGAATTTTTTAGGTTGGAAAAGACCTTTCAGATATCATGTCACTATGACTGTAGTCTCTTTGAAAGGACTTAGCTCAGCTTTTTTAGCTAACTATTTGCTCATTGTGAATTAGTTACAACAAATGCAAATTGAATATACTGGAGAAAAAATGGTCAGTGATGTAAAAAGGCAATTGATGAAGTCAGGTTTGAGAGTGTAGTTACTACTTTTCTTTGGTTAGCATTCATGTTATAACAGTCTTTCCACTTATTCCTGTGTTTCTTACACATCACTTTAACCACATTGCAGGAAAACCTGCTTTGCAAGTTTCGCAAACTTTGCAGCTTGCCAGGGTTGCAAAGATACTTAATGTTTCTCTATTTTTCAGCCAAAGACTCATCCCACTGTACCTAAAAGAGTTTTACCTACTCTGAGCTCCAAATGTATCCCTTTTTTATTAAACAGTGGGAACTAGGTGTGATTTCTTCTTAGAATGTATTTTTAACATACAATAAATCTTTGCAGAATGAACGAGAGAGAATTCTTGAATACAAGAGGCAAGTGCAGAGTTTGGTGAATAAATCCAAGAAGATTGTGCAGCTGAAGCCACGTAACCCAGACTACCGGAGTAACAAGCCTATTATCCTCAAGGCTCTATGTGACTACAAACAGGATCTGGTATTGTATCCCTTTTTGGCTGAGAATGAACATCATATAAACTAGAACATGGCAAAGGTTTTAGTAAACAAACTGTTGAGTTGATAGGTGAAATCCCTTTGTCTGCTTTTGATCAGCATGTAAATTACTGTATCAAAAAACCTCTGACTTTCAAGCAATTATGAATGGACAAGTTAGGTGCTGGTGGGTTAGTAAGTCTAGTCAAAATTAGTATTATTGTTATTATTAGTCTGTTAAATAGCATCAGTTTTGTAATAGGTCTGTTCTGTTATCTGTAAAACTTGTTTTACTTGACTAACTAGGTTGCACTCCGCTAGTGACCAGTAATTGACCACTGTGATTTGTGTTTGTGATCTGGGGTTTCTGTTGTCCCCTCTATGTCGGTGTTCACCCGTACCACGTCTTATTCCAGAGTCACAGAAGTTCAGCCCTCACGGAGTAACTACTTGTTACTTAGAAGCAAACCTACATGAACTTAGGCAATAACCAATTACCTGACCACTTGCTAATTGCTCTTACAGTTAAGCAAGCTAAATTCTGCTAGGGTGAGGGTAAGCCCAGACAAGTCCGAAGTCTGTGCGTGGTCAGGTCAGTGCGAAGCCTGTGGCCTTTTTACAAATTCTATTAAAAAAGAATCATATCTGCTGGCTGCAGAGGTGTGATGCAGAGAGTCCTGTCAGGATAAATGACAGCAGAACCCCCTTCTCTTGGATATGAGTAGGTTGTAACCTCTACCATGGCCACACCCATGACTGCAGGGTGTCAGGTTTTCTGGCAGTTTGGGCTGGTGAATCTAACCCTGCCACACTGGCCCCTGGTCTCTTGGCAAATCTGGGTGCATCTCTAAGCATCTTCATGCCTCCATCTCACTGGCTTACAGCCATACATGGTTGTGCAGCTTACTGTGGCCACACATCCACACTCGGTCTTTGACGTTTGTCATGTCAAGCTTCAAGTCTGATGATCACCCAGACTGACAACTGTTCAGAGTGTTCTGTGGCTTCCGCTTGGTTTTCTTCAGTTTTCACGTAGCACCAGATGCAGAGTTGATCTGTACTGATCCCTTGGCCCAGTAAGAAGCCAAGATGCACATCCAGACCTGGCAGCTGGAAAGGGCTCCCAGTTCTGCATCTTCCTTGTCCATCTCCCGTAGAAGCCCAATCTTACTTACCTAATGAAAAAAGCTGCTGTTCTGCATTCCTCACAGAAAACCGTGCGCAAAGGAGACGAATGTATCCTGAAGGACAACAATGAGCGCAGCAAGTGGCTGGTGACAGGCCCTGGAGGAGTGGATATGCTGGTGCCATCTGTTAGCCTTATCATCCCACCTCCCAATCCGTTGGCAGTGGATCTTGCTACCAAGTGAGTTGTTGACTGGGTTTGGACACCTATTGCTGGGAGCAGGTAGAAGAGTTTGCTCAGAATAGCAATCAACCACAGAATTTGGTCTGTGCCTTGATCAGAGTGCCCCCCTACCTTGTAAGGGTGGGGGCTAAGGGCTGGATCATTGATTTTAGGCAGTTCACTTAGTGAAGCTTGCTGGGACCTAAGATTATTTAAAACCTAACTTTTACAAGCTTTTTCCTATCTTTAATAATGAAAGTAATGGATGAATTTATTTCCAAGTATTGGTTCAAGTAGAGAGCAAGCCTTGACACACTCCGTATCTGGAGGGTGTTCGTTAGGATGTATTGTAGCCACGCTTGACACACGTGTTTTGACCATGAGATTTCTTTTCCCATCTCAGAATTGAGCAGTACTATGAAGCTATTCTAGCTTTATGGAACCAGCTGTACATCAACATGAAGAGCCTGGTATCTTGGCATTATTGCATGATTGACATCGAGAAGATCAGAGCAATGACAATTGCCAAGGTAGGAATCCAGCTGGGCTTACCTGTAGACCAGGGATGTCCATGCCCTGACCTCTGCTGTCCCAAACAGTGCTTGTGCCCTGTGCAATTTTATGTTATGCAAAATTATGGGCTTTCCTTTTGCTGGGTTGCACAAGCAGTTATATATAGAAGTCTTTGTTTTATTAAGAGAGAAGCAAAATGTTTTCCCATTTAAACATGATATGGATAAATGGGAAAATTAGGAATTTATTATATACTTGCTGTACTTCTTCCCTCTTAAACATGATATGGATAAATGGGAAAGTTAGGAATTTATTATATACTTGCTGTACTTCTTCCCTCTATGCAAGTCCATGAATAGACAGAGTAAGAGGCAGAGTTTCAAGGAATTCTTAAGTTATGAAATGGCTATAACAAGAATAGAGTAGCTCAAAGGGCACTTCTAGTGCCATACTGTTGCAGCCATCCTTTGCTTTTTTCTATAGGTTTGTTAGTTTATTCCTTAATGATCAAGTAGTCATAAACCTTCCTCAATTGCCTCTTTTTTCAAAATTCTCTTCTTCCTCATTTCAGCTGAAAACAATGCGTAAGGAAGATTACCAAAAAATAATAACTGACCTGGAGATCCATTATCAAGAATTCCTCAGGAACAGCCAAGGATCAGAGATGTTTGGTGATGAAGACAAACGAAAGATCCAGACTCAGTTCACTGATGCTCAGAAGCACTACCAAACCTTGATTATACAACTGCCCAATCAACCACGGCAGCCACAAACAGGTTGGCCATCCTGCTGATTTTTGTAGAGGTTGTACTGCTGGGATTTCTTTGTTCAGAGGGTTGTGGATGCTAGTGCATTCTTTTCATGTGAAAATGTTCTCATAAGCATATAAATAGGAGTATGTTCAAGAATTGTCCTGCTGCCTCCCATCATAACAAAACTGGACACGTGGAGGGAAAGATTCTGTTTTGTCTTTCCTTCCTTTGGTGTGAATCTTGGAACAGACTCCTGAAGTTCATGGAACTGGCTGGGAAAATGGGAGTCCTTTAGCCCATCTGATATGTTTTCAGTAATTAAGAAGCCAAGTCTTACTGGTACATTTGAGGAAACAAATCTTTTTCTGAAGGAGAGAATTCATGCCTTGAAACAGCTGCTTAAGGGCCCAGGTCTTCTCCCTCTTCTCAGTTCTTAGGTCACTCTGGCACTGCCTTGGCTTTCTGTACGTAGGTGCTCAGTTCTCTGGCAGTTGACATTTCCCCAATGCCTTTTGCAGTGGTGCCAACTGAGAGCTGTCCTGTGGGCTCCACAAACACCATTATTGTTAATGAGAGAAACCGAGAACATGAGAAGCAGGAGGCCTGGCTGCTGATGGAGCTTCAGAAACTTCGGCGTCAGATTGAGGCTTCTGAGATTCGGATGGTTCAAAGAGCTCCTCTTGGGGTGGATCAAGGGGCTGTGCATGACTTTTCAGTCAGAATAAAGGATTTAGAGGTAACTGTGGATATTCTTCTTTGAGCATCTCAAGTTCAGTATGACTGTGCGTAGCAGGGCATTCTGTAATTGTATTTCTGATCAGCTGGGAAGGACATCCATCCAGTGCAGAAAATTCTCAGTTGGCAGCTAACCACGATGATTTGGATCTTAGTTTAGCTCCTAAGTAGAAAAAGCTGACTCTTAGATTTTAGTAGTCAAATTCTGTGAGGCAAAGAATACAAAGTCTTACGTCAAGTGGACCTAAGTTCATGTTAAACCTTATCCATGGTAAAGTACTACTGAAATCCTTCTCTGCTTGGACACCACTTGACCCCCTACCTCAAGTGCTGTCTGTGGGATGCAGAGTGCATACATGAGCTTTACAGACTCTCTCCCAGTTCTTAAGTTTTGAAGGAGACTGGAGAGAGAGGATTAGGAAGAAAAGATAATAGATCCAGTATATGCAAAATTCCCCTGACACAATAAGGTTGCAAACATCTTAAGCACAGAAGGAACGTGGGGTTTGTACTGAGTGCAGTAGGCAGATGGCAGTAAAGTGCTCTGCATTCAGCAGAGATGAATCTCAGAGTGGGTGAGGTACTCAAAAAGAGATATTACCTGGTGTGGGCTGTGCAAAAAAGAGCCTGCCCAAAGTTACTTACCATAAAGAAAGCAAGCTCAGGTACTGCTTCACTCCTCAGTCAAGCTGGTTAGATAACAGCAAACTATTTGGAAAAGGAGACCCGTTGCATAGGTACTGTAGAATGAACATTCAGCCACCAAAAATGTGTAAATCAGGCATTCTCTTTCCTTAGGGTGTGCAGAATGACTCTCAAATTATGGCTGAAACCCTCAATAAGCATAAGGACTTGCTGCCTAACTTCAGAGGCTCTGAAAAATACGTGTACTTGCAGTCAGAGATAAATGCCCTATTTCAAAAACTGGAAAATATTAATGGTGTTTCTGCTGGCTACTTAGACAGGTAAGACAACTGAGGTTATAGCAGTAAGTAATTTATTTTCTTCCATAACTCTTCAGTCAGAAATCTGCCTTTTGTTACTAGTGGTGTAAAACCACACCTTCTTTTCTACAAATGCTGTACATGTGGGTAGAAACAGACTTTTTTGAATTTCTTGTCTTTTCTGGAAGACCTTAAAAAAGTGAGAATGATGGGTATCACTGAAATTTTTTTGGTATTCTCTATTCTCTTTAACTAATTACCTGCAATTAATGACAAATACTACCTTTCCTGCCCCAGCCTGTAACTGATTTGTCTTGTATTATTTATTTTAGCTTGAATGCACTTAGGTGTCTGCTCCAGATTATTCTACAAACAGAAGATGTTATCAGAGTTTTTGAAGTTAGACTGTCTGAAGAGGAGACTATTCCTTTGGATCTTGATAAAGTGGAGGCTTATCGAGCTTGTCTGAAGGTGAGAGACCAAGACCCAAGAACATAGCAATACAAAATTTGTAGCTGCCAGAACTGGTCTATTGAGCTGGATGAAACCCTTTCAAAACCACAGCAGATTAAAATGCTGATCCTGTTGTATTTTATGACTTAGACCTACAATGCTTTTGCAAATTATTGGAAGCAATGTATGGATTACTATTTCTTCCATCACCTGGTTATTGGTGCCCCCCCAGCAACAAAATTGTCTGTGTTTGTTTCACTTACAAAGCTAGATTTGAAGGCAATACCTCCTTTCTTGCAAAAAGGCTTGTTAATTGCCCTTGTTGTCATCTCATTGTAGCAAGTAAATTTGAGTAGTATTCTGTGTCCTGGTTTTGCCATAGAGTCCATTTCAAATCTTACAGTGAGAACTGTCCATCCTGTATGAGGGGAGAAAGCAAAGAATAACTGCTTTGCTGAGCACTAAGTTGGCTTGCAGAACCAGCCTTTACCTGGCACTGAGCAGGTCCTTTTGTGCACTGAATGCCTTTGGGCCAATAAGGACTCTCTCTCAGTCTTTCCTGTTCTTAGATGCAGTAGGGAAAAAGTGTGTAGATGGCACAAATGGAGCACAACCAGGTTACCCTTTTAGCATGTTAAATGCTAGCTGCAGTTCAATTCCTGAGTTGGTCTTAACTGGTGTAAATTTGAGCTACAGACAAAAAAACACAAACCCAAAACTCGAGCATGTCATCAAAGGATGCAGTCATCCCTGCACATATATAAGGCAGGCCACTGCCTGCCCTGTATATGCCATCTGGTGATACCCCATGGTGTGCAAGTATGTGCACACAAACAAGTGTGTGTTTAATGAAAGATCTCCATGGAAGATGTTTATAAAAAATGCAAACAGAAAAAAAAATACAACAACTCTTCAGATTTTTAGGTAACAGTTAAAAACTGCCAACCCTGAGGCTTGTTTCTACAGCTGTTTCAAGTGCAAGAATCTTTTATACTTCAATGCTATAATAAGGCAGTCTCTTCCTTTGGAGTTTTTTTGGTGACTGCTCTACACAATTCTGAGAATCTGAAATGTTAGCTACAGTATATGACAGCAGAGGCTGCAAATTATTTAAGAGATAGTCTAACTTTTAACACCTTATTGAGTCAAACTTTGTCTGCCAAAGTAGGTGTTTCAGTTTAAAATCTTAAAGTCCAGCTGACATCAGTGTACACGCCCTACTGAATGTGAAGCAAAATCTTTAGATCCCAAAACATTGTGCATTCTGTTGCTGGTTAAATGTTAGTATCTTTTCAAAAATAAGATGTATGACAGCATTTTGTTTTTTCTCCAGAAAATGAAAGCAGACCTAAACATGAAGAAGTCACTACTGAGTGCTCTGGAAAATGAGCTGCAGAAAACGCTTCAGATTCACTCGCAGTCTTGCCAGTCGTATACACTGTATGACATGGACATTGGAAAGTTCTCTGACAAAGTTGCTCAGCTCATAGACCGCTGGCAGAGAGCTGATAAGCAGATAGATAACAGGTTTGCTCGTATTTCCTAATAGCTTCTTCCTTATTGTCATTGCTACTGAGATCATCTTAGCAGTGAGTCTGAAAAAACTGATATGCCATACTAATCACTTCCAGAGGACGGATGATGACTTCAGGGCACTAAAACTAGAGCAACTGTGAATATGTTGAACATGGTTAAAAAGGGATTGTGTAAGACTAAGCAGGAAAATGTAGTTATTCATGTAAGTGTATAATCTTTGTGCTAAGAAGTTGTTCTAGGTTTTTAAATTATTATTCTTGTTAATGTTCTTGGGTTAAGTACTCCCTGCCGGCATTTTTCCCCCCAAACAAAGCAACTATGCTTCTTCCTGAATGCCCTATACCTAAGGGTTAAAAAATTAACACTAAGAATTAAGTAAAAAAAATCCCAACATTTATTTTTCTAATGATTATTGAACTGAAGTAATTTTCTGATTGTTTGTGGGGGCTTTGGGGCGTGTTTTGGTTTTACTTCAGGCCAAGGTCTAGTCATGTTAATAAAAAATGACAGCTTGCTGGTCATTTTGGTTAAATTTGAGAACAAAAGTACTTTATTCTTATTGCTGCAAGGTTTTTTGTCCATCCCTGAGTTCGCGGGAAGTGCCAGCCTCTGGATATTGCAGAGCTGCTCTAAAGCGAGGCACTAAAACCCCATGTTGGGTGACTGATAACTGGAATAAATCTCATTTATTAGAAATTTTTCTTCAGAATCTCCTGTTGGATCTTCCCATAGCTTTATCTGATCTACCACTGTGTCTTATTGATGAAAAATACTGAAAGAAGGAAAGAGATCCCACTTTCCATTTTGACTGTTTCCTCTGTTTTTGTTTTTTTTTTTTTCCTAGATCATGGGATTTGGAAAGGCAGATCAAACAGCTAAAAACTTACCGAGATCTCTACCAGGCCCTGAGCAAATGGATCTGTGATGCCAAGCGCAGGCAGGAGACCATCGAGTCCACGAAGCTGTGCGATTGCAACACTATCATGAGATACCTACATGATCAGAAGGTAGGCAGCATCCAAATGAGTTGTCTTAGATTATCTGGGTTTGAAATTGTTTTACTCTTCCAAAAATATAAGTATCAATGCAGTCAGCAATAAAGTGGCCTGTTTTGAATTATAAAGTATGCAAGCTACCCAAAAGTACCATGTGTCTAGAAGGCAGGAGAGAGGAAATACTGTTATCCTCATTACTTTTTGTGAGCACTGCCACAGATTACGAACAAGACTGTATTAGGCTCACACAAGATCACTGACACTTTTACACACCAGTTGTGAATTAATTCTAGGGGCTGTATGAAGGTGCAACTTATGGGACAAATTATAGCACAAAAATAAAAAGTGAGGAAATGCATCTAAGCAGGAGTCAAGGAACTGTCCCTGCCCAGCTCTGGGCGTTGTTCAGTTACAAGGAATTGTGTCTGAGAGTGACCTTCTCATGCAGAGAGAGAGCTTGCTGGTGTAAAAACTGCATGGCTGCAGGTCCTTTTAGGTCTCAGCCTCTGGGATTGCTGTGGTCTCATAGTGCAGGTGCCTTCTGACAGAGGCAGCTTTTATAGCAGTAAATACTGGCAAATCCCGAGGGGGTGCTTAACAGCTCACTTTTTTCTTGACAGAACTTGCACAGTGAAATCTGTGGGAAGCGAGACAAGGTGGAGGAGCTTCTCAAGCATGCAGATCAGTGCTCAGCTGCCATTAAGGTACTTGGATTTCAGCATTTTTATGGGGTGTGTTTTTTTCACGGTCAGATGCATCCTATTGTCTCTGCTTTGCTGACAGGTGTAATGTCAGCTCCCTGATGTGTGTGTGCGGAAGTTGCTGAGGTGAAGCACTTGTGTGTACAAAATACAATGAAAGCAATTTCTGTACTTGCCACTTGACCACAGGAGATAGATCCAGAAGATACCAGTGAGAGTTTCTCTTCAGGACAATCAGTGTCCTCCTAGCCAGGCTGAACTTTCTAGTTTACATATTAAAAAAATAAAATAATAAGGGAGTAGAGAACAGACCGGTAGCTTAGGAATTAGGTGTGGTTAGGATCTGGCCTTGGAGACAAGACAAACACAGGTTAGAAGGAGGAATGGTGTACAATAGCCATGAAAGCCAAGAAGACATACAGAGAGCGGTTTTGTGGTCCTTGCATTTTAATTTCACCCTTTGTATCAGAATTTTTTCCAGCTCAGTCTTTCTGTGACAAAGATCTTGCTATATACATGGCATGGCATATGTGATATGAAGAGATGCAGAGCTGGTTATTTCTGATGAAGTTTTGGTTCATAACACTAGACCAGTTGCTCCCATGAATTTTTTCCATCTCTGTATAGCCCTCAGCTACTGGCAACACACATCTTCCCCTTTTTGCAAAATGTTTTTTCTCTTTTTCCCTTTGTCACTTTTCTCCATGAGTCTCCACAGTGGAAATTGAACTGATGAGCTTCTATTTTATCATAGATGCTCATATGTACATAGCAAGAGATAAAAGCAAGCAAAAATGTAGATATTTATATTAAAAAAAAAACAACAAACCCAAACAAATAACAAAAAACAAACTTACTTCTGTTAGGAAAAAAAAAACAGTGTTAACAAAAAAAACCCCTGACCTTGAGCATACTTTACTTTGTGCTGAATATTTTTAAATGCTAAAGATTCTAAAAGTTCTGTACCACAAAAATAAAACAAATTTCTGCTTTATTTTGCTTTTCTTTATATATAAATATGTGTATATATACACATACTGCCATCACCTCTCTTCTCAACAGCTCTGTCAGCACGTAAAACAAGAATAAACACAATAAGGAGGAACATAAATAGAAATATCTGTTAGGATTAGGAGTAAAAACAAAATCTGAAAATATTTAGGACAAAATTATCACAGATAACCAAACTCTTGGATGCTCATCCCTCAGGGAGATGGGCACAGGGAGAAACACAGTGTGCAGGAGTTGGTGCTGGGACCAGAAAACACAAGCCACAGAGCAGTAGGTGGCAAAGATTTGCGAGAAAAGACCTGCAAAGCCCTGTATTCACACATAGAAAAGTGTTGTGATTCAGATGCTGACAGTCACTTGAAAGACAATCCTGAAGGAGACCACTAGCTTTCTTGTGAAGTCATCCTGTCAAAGTTTAAATTGCTTTGGTAATTCCTCTAAGCAGGTAGATAAGCCTGAGGACATACAAAACTAGCGAAGCTCAGTCTCGCTACATAGAGCTTCTTACAAGATCAGGAGATTATTACAGATTCTTAAGTGAAATGTTAAAGAGTATGGAGGACTTGAAGGTAAACTGCCTCTTATGTTCTTTACCACCTTTTTTTTAATCACAGGTTACCAAGCTATCACTGATTAGAGTTTCTACTTAAGTACAGTGCAAAACAGTCCACAAAACTAAATCCTGAGCTCAGTGGTGTCCCATGAAGGAGGTTTACAAGCAGTTTCTAGCCTCTTTAACAAGAGCACAGTGTCTTGCAAAGTTACCTCCCAGGTCACATGTGAAATGGGGAACATTAGCTGCCTTGTTAAATAGGAGTTGCTTGTCAAAGCATGCAAGAGGTCCTTGTCTGCTCATCAGAGCCTTGACCTCAGAGAGAGTACAGTTATCTCAGTGCTGAAAACCTGCTCCTCATGGTTAAGGGGCCACATCTCATTTCAGGCCATATCTATGGTGTTGGTATCCATTGTTTCAAGTAGAGTAACTCCTGATTTTATTCACCTCAGTGAAAACAGAGAAGCTATCATGTATATGGAATGTGAATCACCTGTTTGAAATTGTGGAGGTTCTAAAGGAGGCTATTTTAATACTTTGCTGGTGAACTCTTGGTACATCAGATCTTACTATCTGTGTTGCATCTTCTTCCCCCTGATCAAATACCATTTCCCCTCTGAAAGTCAACATGTTGATTAAGGTTTGACTCGAAAGAAATAAGCATTCTGGAATTTGTCTTGATGACATTAAATACAAGAAGAAGTGGAGAAAAAAATGCTTTAGGTTGTCAGTGGTATGAATGTATATTGTATTGCATTTAAGGATTTTGAAACAGTTGTCACAAGTGCTTATGTGTTTGTTTTGTTTTTTCTGCTATAATTTTGCAGATGAAAAACACCAAAATTGAACTACTGGAAGAAGAACTCAGGCTTGCTAGGGATTCAAATTCAGAAACAAACAACAAACATAAATTCTTGGAACAAAATCTGCAGAAGTACCAGATGGACATTTCTCAGCTCAAAGCAAAGCTGATGAGTTTAGAAGAGATGAAAAGACAAGCTGAAATGGATGGAAGTTCAGCTAAGCAAAACCTGGACAAATGCTATGCCCAAATAAAGGATCTAAATGACAGAATAACCAGGCTGACTTACGAGATTGAGGATGAGAAAAGGAAAAGGAAGCTGCTGGAGGATAGATATGAGCAGCAGAAGAATGACTATGACCAGCTGCAGAAAACAAGGCAAAATGAGAAAGACAGCCTTGGTTGGCAAAAGTTAGAGTCTGAAAAGGTCATCAAGGAGAAGGAGTACGAGATAGAAAGATTAAGGGTTCTTCTTCAGGATGAAGGCACACGGAAGAGGGAATATGAAAATGAGCTGGCTAAGGTAAGAAACCAGTTTAGCGAGGAGATGAGTAATTTAAAGAACAAGTATGAAACAGAAATTAATATTAAGAAGACCACAATCCAGCAGATAGCTGCACAGAAAGATGATGATGCAAAAGGCCTCAGAGCCCAGGTTGACAGACTGGCAAGAGAAAACAGAGACCTTAAGGATGAGATCGTGAGGCTGAATGATGCCATTCTGCAGACAACAGATCAACGGAGGAGGGCAGAAGAAGATGCTCTTCAGCAGAAGGCCTGTAGTTCTGAGGTGTCACAGCAAAAACATCAGTTGGAGCTGGAGCTGAAACAAATAATTCAGCTTCGTGGCGAAGACAACTCAAGATACAAGCAGGCTCTTGAGGAGGCTGCCTCAACTATTCAGGATAAAACTAAGGAGCTGGAAAGGCTAAAGGTTCAGCTTCAGGAAGAGGCTAAAAGCCGATGGGAACTTGAAAATGAATTGGCTAAGGTAAGGAACAGTTATGATGAGGAAATTATTAGTTTAAAGAACAAATATGAAACAGAGATTAATATCACAAAGAACACAATTCACCAGGTCACCATGCAGAAGGAAGAGGACACAAATAATTATAGAACACAGCTTGATAATGCCATGAGAGAAAATAGGAATTTGTGTGAGGAAATTAGGAGACTGAAGAGTACGATAAGTCAGACAACAGATAACCTACGGAAAATAGAAGAGAATGCTCAGCAGCAGAAGGCAGCTGGCTCAGAGCTTTCTCAGAAGAAACAGCAGCTGGAGATTGAGCTGAAACAGGTTATTCAGAGGCACTCTGATGAAAGCATACGGTACAAACAGTCACTTGATGATGCTTCCAAGACCATTAAGGAAAGAAACAAAGAGATTGAAAGGCTGAGAAAGTTGTTGGATGTAGAAACAAGTCAGAGGAAAGAAGCAGAGGATGAGAACAGTCAGTTAAAGAGAGTCCAGTTTGACCTGCAGAAAGCAAACACAAGTGCTACTGAAACAATTAACAAGCTGAGGATCCAAGAGCAGGAACTGGCCAGACTGAAAATTGACTATGAAAGAGTTTCGCAAGAGAAAAAAGGCAGGGATCAAGAAAGTGCAAAGTTCCAGAGCACTATAAAAGACTTGCAGATCCAGAAACATAAGATGGAGGAGGAGCTTTGCAGGCAGAATAAAAATCTAATGGAGGAGACATCCAGGAGAAAGAAACTGGAGGAGGAAGTAGAAGGCATGAGGAGATCTCTCAGAGAGCAATCAGTTAAAATAACTAATCTTACACAGCAGATAGAGGAAGTGTCTATTGTAAAGAAGAGGAATGAAGATGACCTTAGACACCAAAGAGAAGTATTAGATGGTCACATGAGAGAGAAGCAAAGATACATGGAGGAGATAAGAAAATACACGTCTGACATTGAGACTTTGCGCCGTCAGTTGGTCCAAGAACAGGAGCAATTGAAACAGGCTCACCTACGATATGAGCATTTACAGAAATCCTCTGAGGAGAAAAGCAAAAACTTGAATGAGTGCAAAATAGAAATTGAAAGGCTTCAGTCTCTCACCGAGAACCTAACCAAGGAGCACTTGCTGCTGGAGGAAGAGCTGAGAAATGCTAGATTGGAGTACGATGACCTCAGAATGGTCAGAAGTGAAGTTGATGAGAAAAATGCTGCCATTGCTGAACTAAAGAATCAGCTTCAGACGAGCAACAAGCAAACCCTGGAACTTCAGGGGTTGATTAATGATTTACAGAAAGAAAGGGAAAAATTGAGACAGGAAATTGAAAAATTCCAAAAGCAAGCTCTAGAGGTATTCACACATCTTTTGATCCCAGCTTTACTGTCTCTCAGATATAGAATTAACTGCAGTGTGCATTTAAATCAACTTAATTCACACTTTGCTGTTTAAGTTCACTGTACTTGTGACTAATATCCCCTTTATGGCCCTTCCCCTTGTTCATATTCAAACAGAAGTGGCAGGATTTGGCTACTTTCTTAGCCTCTTTATTTCCTGGGAGCTGTGCTAGGGAGCCATAAGCTGTCTTACCTTCTAGCTGAGCCTTGCCCCAGGAGAAAACCTGGGTCTATGCCAGTCTCCACCAAACCAGTTTAGGGGAATATAAGAGTACATGGAGTTGCACTGTGCTTTAGCTGTACCCTGCTGGCTGTGTGCTTCCCCAGGCAGTTTCAGCCAGGAGGGGTTAAAGCAGTCCTTTGTGGCTGACCTGAGAGAGATCACAGACTAAACCAGCAAGAAACCCCAGGACCAACAAGCTATCCAAGTGCTGCTTAGCTGGGTAAGATGTTGACTACAAGTGAGGATTAAAGATGATGTTGTCAGGTCTACCTAAGGTACTTAAAGCCTACATTTCATCGACTGTTTTGAGGATTTATGTTCTTAAGTTCCCTTAAGGAATGGCATTTGCAAATTTTGCTATTGGCCCTTATTTCTTAAACTTGAGGTGACATCAGAGACAAGTTAAAGAAAACTTTTTTTTTTAAATTCCATTTTTCTACCTGGTTTCTTGACCAAAAAGCTACTGTTTAAGAATATATACAAGTGAACACTTGTGAAAATGTGTATTTGCTTTTTCCTACACTTGGCCTTTGTATTTTTCTCATTCCCATTCTCAGCTGTTCTTTCCTTTCAGGTTTTATTTCCTTTATTTAAAAAATCATAACACTGATTTTTTAAAAATATTAACATTTACGATTATCTAACATCTATGCATGTAAATATGTGCATGTATTACAAATATATAGATTGTATTCAATTTAATGAGGACGGTGTACAATTGTGCATGCTTGTAGGTGTTTGTGTATGCATATGCAATATGAAGACATTAAGTGAATTAACATGTAAAGCAGCACAGGTTAAAATTGTTTGGGGTAACATGTGAAACTAATAGGAAAGTGAAAATTGAGTCATATTTCCTTTTTATCCATGTATGACCAATCCGTAGCTCATACAAATTCACCCAGGTTAGTAGGACTATGCTAGGGTACATCTGCTGAGCATCAGACTCTTAATGAGTCTTGAGTGCCCTGTGTATGTGTAGGTCTACTATAAGTATTATTAAAAAGTTATAGAGCTAAATAAATCAGCAAAACACCAAGGCTATAGGTAAGAGAACGGAGTCTCTGGAGGTGCTAGAGACACTGTCAGTGAAGGGACAATGTACCTTCACTGTTTTTTGTGTATTGATGGCCTTGTGTAAGGTACTGCTGCATCTAGAAAGTTTTCTAGTGGCAGCTTGTTGCAGATTAAATAGCAGGCCAGAGCACTGTAAGGGGAGCATTGTGACTCTTAACCAGTGTAAACTAACCATTCTCTCTTGGTTTATTTCCTCTCTAAAACTGTAGGCATCTAATAGGATTCAAGAATCCAAAAATCAGTATAGTCACATTATGCAAGAAAGAGAAACCTTGCTGATAAAAATGAGTGCTTTGGAGCAAGACAAAGCCAGGCTGCAGAGATTAGAAGAGGAGCTGAACCGTTTGAAAGTTACCCTGGAGTCAGAGTCTCGTGTGAAGCAACGCCTGGAAAATGAGAAACAACAAATCCTTAATGACCTCAATCAGTGGAAGAGCCAGCACTCTCGGACCGAGGAATCCATAAGGAAGATCCAGTGTGAGAGAGAGAAAAGCGAGAGGGAGAAGAACACCCTCAGGAGTGAGATTGAAAGGCTGCAGATGGAGATCAAACGGATTGAGGAGAGATACCGGTGCCGACTGGAAGAGACTGCTGTCAAAAACCAGTCAGAGTTGGAGTCTGAACGTCTCAGGCTGCAAAGAGAGATTGAAAAACTCAAGCAACGCCCATATGGATCCAACAGATCTACGCAGACCGAAGAAGACTTTTGTATTGATGCCTCCAAGTTGCTGTTCAGTGGGCTGCGGAAGAAGATTACAGCAATGCAGCTGTTTGAGTGTCAACTGATAGACAAACTCACACTGGATAAACTGCTGAAAGGGCAGAGGTCAGTGGAAGAGGTCACAGCTGACATCGAACCCTACCTCAAAGGGGCAGGTGCTATTGCAGGGGTGTCTCTTTCACCCAGACAGAAGTACTCTTTTGTTGAGGCCAAACGGAATCAGCTGCTTACAGCAGAAAACGCAGTCCTACTCTTGGAAGCCCAGGCAGCAACAGGAGGTGTGATTGACCCACACCGAAACGAGATGTTAACAGTGGACAGTGCTATTGCCAGAGACCTGATCGACTTTGATGACAGAGAACAAATCTATACAGCAGAGAAGGCCATTACGGGATTTAAAGATCCTTTCTCAGGCAAAACTGTGCCAGTAGCTGAAGCCATCAAGAAAAACTTGGTTGATAGAGAAACTGGGATTCGTCTGCTTGAAGCCCAGCTGGCTGTAGGAGGGATTGTTGATCCTGTCAACAGTGTTTTCCTACCCAAAGATATAGCTTTATCCCGTGGGTTGATTGACAAAGACCTGTACAGGATCCTAAACAACTGCCAAGGCGCCACAAAGAACTTCATCGATCCCACCACCAAAAAGGCAGTCACTTACATGCAGCTGAAGGAAAAATGTAGGATTGAACCACACACCGGTCTGCTCCTTCTCCCAGTGCAGAAGAGGAGCATGTCATTCCAAGGAATCAGGCAGCCTGTCTCAGCAGATGCACTGCTTGAGGCTGGAATTATTAAAGAATCAACAAGGAATGACTTGGAAAGAGGTGCAATTACAGTGGAAGAAGTGAGTGAGAGAATTATTGATTTCCTCCAAGGCTCTAGCTGTATTGCAGGTATCTACAATGAGGCTACTAAAGAGAAACTTGGCATTTACCAGGCTATGAAAATAGGTTTGGTTAGACCTGGGACAGCCCTTGAACTCCTGGAAGCCCAGGCAGCCACAGGGTTCATAGTGGATCCTGTCAGCAATGTGAGGCTGCCTGTAGAGGAAGCCTACAAAAGAGGCCTTGTTGGAATTGAATTCAAAGAGAAACTTCTCTCTGCTGAAAGAGCTGTCACTGGGTACAAAGACCCAGAAACCGGAAACATAATTTCTCTGTTTCAAGCAATGAACAAGGAGCTCATAGAGAGAGGCCATGGCATTCGTTTGCTGGAGGCCCAGATTGCTACTGGAGGAATCATTGACCCCAAAGAGAGCTACCGCTTGCCAGTAGAGACGGCCTACAAGCGTGGCTACTTCAATGAAGAGCTCAACCAGATCCTCAGTGATCCAAGTGATGACACAAAAGGGTTCTTTGATCCCAACACAGAGGAGAACTTGACCTACTTGCAGCTGAAGGAGAGATGCATAAAGGATGAAGCAACAGGGCTCTGCCTTCTGCCCCTGAGAGAGAAGAAGAAGGTGGTGCACACCTCGCAGAAGAACACCCTTAGGAAACGCCGGGTTGTCATTGTAGATCCAGAAACAAACAGGGAAATGTCAGTGCAGGAGGCATACAGCAAAGGCCTCATAGATTATGACACCTATACAGAACTAGCTGAACAGGAGTGCGAGTGGGAAGAAATAACTATTACAGGATCAGATGGCAGCAGTAGAGTAGTCCTTGTCGACAGAAAAACGGGTAGCCAGTATGACATCCAAGACGCCATCGATAAAGGTCTGGTTGAGAGGAAGTTTTTTGACCAGTACCGTTCTGGCAGCTTAAGCCTGACACAGTTTGCAGACATGATCTCCTGCCGTAATGGCACCGATGAGGTGTTTCGGCACGAGTCCGTGGCTCGGTCTCCCACGGTGCTGAGTGTCAGGAGCTCTTCCTCGCTGATCAGGAGCGGTTCCTTCTCAGAGACCCCAGAAGAGTGCAGTCCTATTGCAGCCATATTTGACACAGAAAACCTGGAGAAAATTTCCATTTCGGAAGCTATACAGCGGGGCATCGTGGATAGCATCACGGGGCAGCGGTTACTTGAGGCTCAGGCCTGCACTGGGGGTGTAATATGCCCTACCACAGGCCAGAGGCTGTCGCTTCAGGAAGCCACCAGTCAAGGCATCATTGATCAGGATATGGCCACACGGCTCAAACCAGCCCAGAAGGCTTTCCTAGGGTTCGAAGGCATAAAGGGCGGACGCAAGAGGATGTCAGCAGCTGAAGCAGTGAAGGAAAAATGGTTGCCTTACGAGGCTGGGCAGCGGTTCCTTGAATTCCAGTACCTCACTGGAGGCCTTGTGGACCCAGAAGTGCGTGGAAGAATAAGTACTGAAGAAGCCATTAGGAATGGTTTGATAGATGGTCGCGCTGCCCAGAAATTGCAAGACACTAACAGCTACCCGAAAATTCTGACCTGCCCCAAGACCAAGCTGAAAATATCCTACAAAGATGCAATGAATCGGTCAATGGTGGAAGATATCACCGGGCTTAAACTCTTGGAAGCAGCCTCTGTTTCATCTAAAGGCATATCCAGTCCCTACAATGTCTCCTCAGCACCCGGCTCTCGCTCTGGCTCTCGCTCTGGCTCACGTTCAGGCTCACGCAGTGGTTCTAGGAGGGGAAGCTTTGATGCATCAGCAAGCTCTTCATATTCTTACTCATACTCAACCTTCAGCAGTGGGTCTATTGGGCGCTAATATGTCTGCATTTTAGTATCGTTTAGGTTATTCTTTGTCGCCTCTCCTAAAAAAAGCAACAAGAAAACAGCAACAAAGGAACCCAAAGCAAACCCCTTAAGTCTTTTCTAGGTGTGTTCAACTTCTCTTCTGGAAAAGCTGTAAAATGCTTGAATGCAAATTTATAGGATATAGGTAATGGATGCAAAAAGTTGTATTTGTGAATTTTGAGTTTTGGTTCCCATTTCCTTTTAGTGTTTGGATTTTAATTGGTCTCTGTATATTTTAAATACTCTGTCATGTGCCCTCTCCTGTTATCTGGAACTGTCAACCCTTAAGGTGATAACTGAGGTTTGAAAGTCTTGCAGCAGTTAATTTTTTTTTTTTCAATTTACTATTGTGAAGAAAAAGATATTAACAATATGAACAGAAAATATTGGTTTAGAATCTAACATGAAAAGCTCTGTCTTCCAGATGTTGTACTTCTCTATGTTTGACTAGCTATTTTCTTACATGTAACTTGGTGGATATAAAGGGCTATTACCAGGCTGGGCTTTTTGTTTTACTGTTAGCCATATGTATTTTCTACTGTTTTGCTTGATTTCCATGTAATGAAAAAGCACCCCTCTAACTGCACCAAGTGAGCTATTCTGGGCAATAAACTTTTGAAGTTTTAACATATTTGTTGTGTGTTCATTAAATGTAGCTATGGACATTCTTGGAGGTACAGTCTAGAGAAAGAGGACCATTTTAAAAAGGAGCATATACTAGCTCTGTCATAAAAATAGAGGACAGGAACATTACTTTTCAGGATACTGATCCATCGTCATGGGGACTTCTGATTCTGCATTTTTAGTAGGAAAGTGAAGATAGCACCAATAATGGAAAGTATGGCCCTAAAAGCAGAAATTCTGCTTCCACAATTAGATATAGACTTGATGATGACCAGAAGCATAATTTTTTTTTCTGTCTGTGATGCAGCCCGTTGTCTCTGCAGCTTCAAGGGACTGAGTCAGATCCTCCCTTGCACGTCACTGTAACTTTGGGCAATGAGCATAACAAAGGTACAGTGATGGTGCAAAGGCATAACTGACCAGTATGGTGGCACAGGAGGAAGTTTCAAAACCTGAACAATCACCTTTTGTAATGTCCTCCCACCTCTTCTCCTGGCTTCTGAAAGCCTAGGTTGAAAAAAGAGTAAGAGTATGTCAGTGTCTGCACAATGCCTTGCTGCTGTCAGGCTGCTGTCAGTTCCACATAGGCCATTGACAACCCGCTGGCTCCCTTCCTTTATCTGAGCTGAGAAAGTTCCTGAGCTGAGAAACCAGAGCACAATTAAGCAACCACTGGATTAGAGGGCATACTGTGGTATGAAGACATACTTCAGCTGCCATGAACGTTCTTCAGCCAGTGGAAAATGTTTTGTATACTTGAAGACTGTCCTCTCCTCTCCCATTAGCCACACCTGCACAAGGTGCAGATACCTTTGGCTAGGCACCATGTTCTTATCTGAGCCATCACTTTCAAGAATTTAGTATGGTTTTAGAGAACTGCCAGTGACAAAACTGCTAGTATAATTTGCCAGTACCTGAAATAAATTCTTGCTGTAAGGAGTTGAAAGTGTTGCCTGAAGCACATACCTACTTTTAGCCACATACTGTGTAGGAACTCCACCTGTCTATGATTTTTTTTCAGTCACTACAGATAGAAAGAAGCTGGTAAGCATAAATGCTAATCACTGTTAATGATGCTGCCTACTTTTTGTTACATCTTCCTTTTTTACAGTAAGGTTGCTGATACTGCTGTCTCTGGCTAAAGTATACCTTTTAACCTGAAAAGCATTTCCAGTATATACAATCTTCCATACAGAAAGTGTCCTCAGTTATTGGACTAAGAAATTAATTGGCTGGTAAAATTTGTTGGTGGAAAGTCTAAAGAAACTTGGTAAAAACTGTATCACGTCTCTGAGGAAATTCCACAGCTTTAGAGGTTTCTCTCTATAGCTGGAGTTCACTAACAGTGCCATAGAGGAAGATCCAGTGTCTGAATGGCTTTCTGACTGCTAAGGAGAAACAGCCCTGTGGAAAATCACTGCTTTATTTCTGAAGCTGTTTCTGAAGTTTCAGCTGGCTAGAATGTTTGTGGGCTCTGCAGTAAAATTAAAATTGGTCATTACCAAAGGAAAGTTTGCTACGGGGTCCATGCACACCTGCAGTTTGCATGGGTTGGAGAATCCTGTGCACTCTTTGTGTCACAGTTGCCACAGGACTGGGCTTATTTGCAAAAGACTTTTTTGTTATCTCTCTTAAAGCTCCATCTTTTTACGTTTTTGACTGCTGGATCTAAATTCTGTCCTGTTGTGGTGGCTTAAATATAAGACCATCTCCCAGAAATTATGCCATACTGCTTTACCCTTGCACACCCTCCAGCAGCACATGCCAGTGTGGCATTAGTGATCTGTGGCCTCATGCAGCTGGAGGTGTTTGGGGCTGGAGACCCAAGTGCCCAGGGCCTGAGCAGCAGCTGAGCCAGAGTGGGCAGCAGGTGGGACAGGATACTGATAACGTGGGGTGCTAAAGAGATAAGTGGAGAGTATTTCTTCACCATAAAAAGGTGCTGAGGAAGGAGTTTAAGGAAGAATGCCTAGAGCTGAAGTTTGGCAGTTGCTGTGGGAAGTCGGCCAGCAGAGCAAGGTGGACATGCAACAAGTGAGTACATCCAGAGGGGCAGGGAGTTGTGGAGCTGAGGACTGATTTTTGTGGCAGTGCCTGGTGTTTGTGCAATAGGAGAGCTATGCCTGGGGTTTGAATAGCAGGCAGGCTGTGGTTTGTTACGGTGTGATGTGGTGAGGGTGCAGGGATGAGAGTGGAGTTGTTACTGTGGATTTGGAGCAGGATGGTCATAGGCTCTGTAGTTCTTTTGCACCAAAGGGGAAGTGAACCTTTTTCATATATTTTAAAAGGGAGATTGACAGCTTTGGATGATCTCTGCTGCTGAGACAGTAACTGCTTGGTATTGAAAAGCCAGAATAAACTTGTTGGTTCAGCCTGTGGCTGCGAGCACTTCCTTGTGTAGTAGGAGTGCTGGGCTGGGTGTGCCCATCAGCAGCCTTGCTGTCGATAGTTCTCTGAATTTGCTGCCTCCTGTTTCTTCCTCAGGGTAGGTGATGCTTGCCCTTGTTAATGACAAATGCGTGCCCAGTGTGCTGACTTGGCTGTTATGGCTGGGCCGGTTCAGTCATTAGCAGGGTCAACTCCCTGGAGAATTGGCCTTTGCTCCGAGCAGGATTGGAATTTATTTCTGAGTTGTATTGACTGAGTGAATTTGCTGTCCTTCAACTTGAGGCTGGGAAATGAGTGCTACTTAGGACCTTAAGTATGTAAGGCATTGTATGGTTTGCACTATGCAGTAGTGTTCAAGCCACCGTTTTTTGTTTGTTTTATGTTGTTTGGAAATGCACACATGCCACAGTTTATTAATAGTGTAGCCTTATGAATACAAGGAGTAGGGAGACTTATGGAGTAGCGACCATGCGACTTAGTGTAAAATTGTCAGAATTATTAGTAAATTATAGGTATATACAGAGAGATGGGGGTTTGACTGATTTGGTCTTTTGATCTGGTATTGTAATTTTTATACACATTTATAATGTAAATCTGGAAGAGTCATTTCCTTTGCTGAAGTTTCTGCGAACCTAGGCTGTTCTGAGATAAACACAATTTACTTGTTACGTGTAGCTTTCTCAGAATAATGCTCTACTTGAAATTACTTTTTTACATGCTCAAACAACTTGAGACCAGCTCTTAGGCCCCTACAGAGAGGCTGTGTATATGCTCGCTGCTTCTTTCTGACCTGTATTTGCTGTCCTGGTGTTTAATGATTATGCACCTGTGATTTGAGGCTATGTATTTTTTTTGTCCCCACAGTTACATCAAACAAATAGCTGGTACATATATAACTGCATCTTGTAATACAGACAAAGCAATATTTAGGGTTCCATTCATTATCTTTGAGCCAGTTTCTGCTTTAGTAGTTTACCAGCAAAATATTTTATGGTAGAGTTAATCCAGTGAGAGGCTTCATTAGGAGAGCTGAGCATCCATCTGCTAATATGTCAGGTGTTTAAGTTGCTGATCCCTTTGTATATCCCTGTCCTGTTGTCAGGCTGAGGTTGTCCATCACGCAGTCATTTGCATCACACAGTCCAGGTGCACTTGGTGAACCAGGGAGTACTGGATGTCCAGGGTGGCTGCTGTGCTGGGGGGGGGGGGGGGGGGGGGAT